CCGTGCCGGGTCCGGCGGCCGGCCGCGAGCCCTCGACGCCCGGAGGCGGAGGCGCCGTCGCTGCCGCCTCAGGCGCCGCGGTGCCGGGCTCGGTGCAGTTGGCGCTGAGCATCCTGCACGCCCTGCTCTACGCCGCGCTCTTCGCCTTTGCCTACCTGCAGCTGTGGCGGCTGCTCCTGTACCGGGAGCGGCGGCTGAGTTACCAGAGCCTCTGCCTCTTCCTCTGTCTCCTGTGGGCAGCGCTCAGGACCACCCTCTTCTCCGCCGCCTTCTCGCTCAGCGGCTCCCTGCCCCTGCTCCGGCCGCCCGCTCACCTGCACTTCTTCCCGCACTGGCTGCTCTACTGCTTCCCCTCCTGTCTCCAGTTCTCCACGCTCTGTCTCCTCAACCTCTACCTGGCGGAGGTAAGGCGGGAGGACCGGCATGCGGGGCCGGGCGGGTGAGCGGGGCTGCCGCGATCAACTCGGGCTGAGGACTGGGCGGGGGGGAGGGGGGGCCGGGCAGTTCGAGGCGGACCCGAGAGCAGCTTGGGGAAACTGAGGCACGCCTGGAGTGTGCGCCACTGTGCTCGCCCTAAACTTAAGCGGCGGATAGACTCGGTTCCTGAGAGACTGGCGGGGTTGAGTGAGTGAGAGTGTGGGTTCTGACAACTTACAACAGGACCACCCTTTGTTCGGTGTTTTGGCCCTCCAAGGTAAGGTGTTGGTGGCACCAACAAAGTGGCATCGCAAGAAGTAGGAGCCCCGGTAGCTCTGCCGAAGCTGGACTGTGTTGAGAGAGGTTGGATGCTGAGGTAGCAGCAGCTCTGCTGAAGCTGGACTGCTGCCAGCCATTACGTCACCAGGCAGAGCTGTTCCTCTGCTATTGTTGCTGCGTTTCTTTTATTAGAAGCTTATATTCCCTCCTGCATCTCCTTTCCTGTGGCTCAGTAAGCCTCACACAAATTCCGTTCGATAGTTCCCCAGCAGGGTTAATGATCAATAACCAAAGCCGAGGGTCAATATAAAGACCTCCATAAAGCTCTTAATGTTTGCCCCACTTGCTCCAAGCTTTAGCTATTTATCCTACCTCTTACAGCCTAGTGATTTGGTTTTTTGGGTTTTTTGTGGGTTTTTTTTTTTTTTTTTGGAGCTAATTAAGACAGAAAATACTAGCTTAACCTGTGACTATTGCAGAAACAAACCACTAAACTGTTTTTGCAATAACTTGCTTAATAGCTGGAACCTAATCACACCCCCTTTCTCTTTTATGGGGAATTGCTGGTTGGATTGCATTGTTCTGCAGCGCTTAGGTATTTGACCCATTTCAAACAGGTTTGAGAGTGTAAGGTTGTCAGTCAAGTGTGTCAGCTAGTGGTATTTAAGCCACAGAATTTTGAGAATTGCCCAAAAACTCTCCCTTCCCCCTCCCCCCACCAAAAAAAAAAAAAAAGCTTGAGGAGGGGAGGAAACAAGGTGACATCATATGCTTAATACTGACTAATATAGAACAATATTGGTCTATGCAGCTAATCCTCTCAAAGGCTTTTGGAGGTGATGAGAATTAACATAGTTCTGAGCAAAAGTAAAAAAAAACATTTGAGGCAGATTGTTTATATTTTCTGCGTAAATCAACTCTCCTCCCATAATAGATGGAAAGTAGAATGCATAATTTTAAAATTACAGTCATAACTTCAGCTTTTTACCACATTAAAAACAACAGTTGAAAATAAGTAACAAAACTAATTTAACTTGAATTCTTTTCTTTCCCCATCCTTTGGAAGTCCAAGCAATGCAAGACAAAACCCAAACAGTGAAAAGCAAAAATAAAAAAAAACATGGGCAATCATAAACCAAATAATCATGCCATAGTCATGTCACTTATTTGATGATGCTCTCATCTTCTAGTTGTTGTTAAAGCTGTCATAACACTTCGGTCCTTTATAGTTAAATTGATACATCGTATTCTTCCTGACACCATTTCTGATAGAATACCAGTGACCTCTCATTACTGAAGCTTAAATCTAGCTTCAGACATAATTTACCTGAAAGTGACTAGCAATCCTTAAGCCATGAGCATCAGATAATTTGTTTTTCCCCTATACATTTTGACTTATAAAATCATATTAATGATTCCCTGTAAAATAGTGGGCATTTCATAAAGTAGCTAAACACTCTTTTTTACTTTTTTTGGAGAAATAAGGTAATGCCATAAAGGGCATAAATCTTAAGGATACAGCTATGAAATTTTATGTATGTGTATACTCATGTTACCACCCGGATTAAGATAGACAGCATTTCTGGTGCCCCAGGTTATTCCCGTGTGCCCTCTCCCAGTCATACCTCTCACCTTGAGGTAATCACAAAGTGGCTAAACACTATCACAATAGAAAAAGCATCTATAGTTAGGCTCAAAATTCTAAAAGTATGCTTCTACAGCGTAAACTGCATGATATCTAGATTGGGTTTTCGTACTTTTAATTGCTGATATTCCAAGGGAAGAATTTAAATGTCTAAAAGTCTTCCTGTTAAATGA